ATCCAGTTTTTGGGTATACCATTATACCTAACTAGGTTCTATTTTTTATAAATGTACCCAAGTAAAATATAATGATAGATAATAACTCTAGGACGTGTATTAAATATTGTATATAAATATAGATGGTATAATATATTATATAAATAGTTCAGTTATCAGGGTTAGTATCATAGAAACGTTCCACATCAAATAAAATAGTTAAGGAGGTTTTTTTGATAATGTTCTTAAATTTAACAGGCTACTTGCGAAAATATTAAAAAACAATTTATTTTGGTCCATCAAAGGCGATCAGAGGCTGGCATCCTATTTACTGGCACAAATGAGTAATAAACATGTTATAGGTATTAGACATATTAATTATAATCGTCAGAATACCGACACCATAAGAATTGACTGCTAGTCCGTGGGAAAAATGATACAGCTTGTGTAAAATAAGAAACTCTTATTTAGATTATCTATATATATTATATTACATATAATGTGTCATCAATGTATCAACTTATAAACGAACCAACCATAATGCCATTGTGCCAGTGTTCTGCTAAAAATCGTCATAAATCATGTTAAACGATTATACCAGGGTTTCCTTAATCCTACCCATAGTACCTATACAATGCAAACTCATCAAGTTCTAAATTCTATAATTTTAGATTAATAATAAATATACTATATTTTTATACAAGAAAAATGTGGATAATATAGTCAACTTTGTGCGTTCTTTCTTGACATAACTCTAGGGAAATAGGCAAGCATATTATCGTCGGTCTTGAAATGATCAAACTTGTTTCTCCCCATACAACATTTTACATAACTTTATACGCAACGAGAAATGATTGGTTATAGATTGAGGTTCGTGTCCCTAATCTTATTGCACATTGCACTGTAAAATATAAATACATGTACACTTGTAAATACTATAAAATGAAAAAGAAAAATCGAAAACGGTCTGACTGAGTCAAATGGTGGATACCGACACGGAGAAAACAGCCTTTAAGAACATTATATGGGACTACCGACGGAATAATCTCGGCTACTCAGTCATTGTGACTTGTGAGTACCTACCGTTGACAACGCTTACCACAGTCAGACCACGTGGGATTAGAACCTCATCAGATTTCGGTATTTCACCAATAAAGGTTTTGGGTATTTGTAAAGTTATTTTATACCACATTTTCAGAATATTACGATTATTATTTATTATACATGCAGCTCGTAATGGTAGAATTCATATTAATAGCATATAATATTAATTTGTGAAGATTATCCGAAAATACTTATAACTTTAAAAGTAAACATATATCTAATTGGTACTTCTACGTAGTTTCCGAAATATTCGGAAAAGACGTTTATTTAATCTCGCATGAAGTTTTTAATAAAATTGATATTCATTTTTCGTTGTTATTTAAAATGAATCACATCGAAACCTGAATTTTTCAAAAAATGTTTATTTACATTTTCTATACATTATAATATAAAAGTCAAAATATAATCTCTTGTGCTATTTATAGGAATTTAAATATTTTGAATTGATTGGGTTTTTTTTTAGTGTTAATTCACATTTTCCGGCTTGAAAATATGACGATATCCTATATAAGTAATTCTTACAGTAATTTTAAAACAATTAGAATACACGGGCATGACTTCTTTATGAGTATTTAAAGTTATGCAATGTTGTTGAAAATTATTAAGACCTTATAAAAGTATATACAATTTTAAATTTTAATAACATAGGCTTTAAAATGTAGTACAAGGTTTCTCGTAAGCGTATATTATAGCGATATAATACACTTAAATAACACAAATACAATACAATGCATGCGCCATTTTTCTTATCGATGTATTAAGTTAAAATTGGACCACGAAATTGAATGTTTATATAAAAAATAACGACTTTCGTTATTTTGCTGTAATTCGAAAAAAAATATTATATTCACTACGACCTATTATTATTATTATCAACTAAATACACAATGACAATTTCAAAATACTTAGATTCAATTTAATGGCTATATAATATAAGTACGTTATATAATATATCTTCGTTCTAATTTATTTCCATTTGCATGATATGATGTGTGCGTGTGTGTGTGTGTGTGCAGTTTAGGCATGGGGAAGAAAGTTTTGTTAAAGATAATTCTCAATATAATAATGCAACTTATTATAAATATGAATGGAAAAAAAGTAGTAGATAGTTAAAGATCGTATTTTTCAAAGTATACAGAGTTTTTGATACCCATACGAATATTCTACGCATCGATCACGTAGGTATATTAGGTGTGCATTGTTATTTGATTACTATGGCCGACAACAGTTTATTTGGGAAAATACGAATTTGGTGGGTCGAGCGACAAAAGAGCCCAGAATTTAATCTTATTTTTAGATAACGGTACATGTATACCACTCATTCACTTCAATATAATATAATTTGAAAGGGTGTTTTCGATCGAGATATATGCTCATTGCGTATGTTTTTTTAAATAATATATTAATTCTAATAATTCGATGTTTTACTGCACATAAATACTGGTGGTGATATTATTTTATAACAATAGGATTATCGGAGAAAAAAATAAGATTAATGAATAAGTAACAAAATATGTTGTTTAATATTAGGAATTAACAATTATGTAAAATATAATTTTCCGACCTCATAATTATTGTACAGACATATTTTGATTTTTCAATTCAACTGTTTCCAACTAGAGGACACTTATTTATTGTATTAGGCAAACTTTTGTTGTAGTCAACATGTATACTGTCTACCGAACTGTAGATTATGCATATCGTACATAATAATGTGATAGACTTTATACGCCGTAAATAGTAATCAAAGCGAATTATTATTTTTATAGAATTGGTAGGGCAAAAAAACAAAATTTAGTATTATAAACGCGAATAGAAAAATATAAAAATGTTTTTAATAAAATCATAGATATTTAAAATTTGAAGTAGTGTCAATGGACTTACCCTTCAGTCAAGAATCCAAACCTTGTAAAAAAAATCTCACATTTACTTATTGTTTTATTGTATTATAGATTGTAAATTTATTTATATTATAAACAATTATTATAATAAAAAAAAAAAGATAGTTAATGATGTACGTATTTATACCATAATAGTAATAAATAATAATTATAATAAAGACAGGCTATGTTTTTAATATTAAGTTTATTTGATGTAGAGTCAAATAATCAAGATTTAACTGTACCCATTTTCAAATACTTTTTGGGATAGACAAAATGATTTATTAAACGGTTTGGTCTAATCTGTAGGATATTAGGACGTACGTTCTTCTGCTGAATTCTACCACTCGTACTTTTTCATACGTATGCAAAATTATTTAGTACTTTCTACCGTACTTTTCTGGGTATATTTTAGCGATATTACTCACTTGGTAATATTGTTTTACACGCGTCCATTAGTTGATAGTGTTAAAACTATTGAAGAATTTATATTGCTCGTTTTAAATTTTATTTTGTTTATACTTTGTGTGTGCACAATTTGTACTCGCGGAGTATCGTGTTTGAAACTGCATTACTGTACATTACCGTAAAACTACAAAACTTGTTAATTTATTAAATCTCACCCACATTCACATTGTTGGAAATTCAAATCCAGTAAAACTATTTAAAGACCTATTTTTTATCTATTTTTGTATGAAAAACTAAAATAAAAATACCGAATGCGAAGGTAAAAACAGAAAGACCCTTTAGTACTCAAAATACATTAGATAGGTCTTATATACTTTCATAGATACTGATAATGAAAATGGAGAAAACGAGAGGTAGTAAAAATATTAGGTAGGTATACATATAAGTATTATAGTATACTATTTCACATATTTTTACAATAATTATGATTTCAATATATTTCAATCATATATGATAATTTATTAATAACCTCAATGACGATTAACAGTAATTTATAATTAATAAACTATTCAATATTTTAAAATACGCAATACTCGCAATAAATACCCCACTGCTAGCAAACTAAATATAACCTAATTGCTAGCATAATATATAATAGACAATTATTGTACCCTATATTATATGTGATATTATGTAGTAGGTATGTCAAAAAAATAAAACCCCAATAACAGTAATTATTATATCGAAAGGTTAGGGTTGTCTTTGTGTTTGTATTCAAACATAACGTATAAAAAAACGAACAAATTAAAATCACAACTATGTTGAAATAAAAAAAATGCCTTAACCACTGGTCAATAAGTAACGAAATTTTCCATCCAATGGTTGGCATTATATTTCTATATTAATAGTTTATTATTATTACTAAAGATAACAATACTGTTTCGTCGTGGTTCTGAGTAACGTTTTGGATTATAATAATATTACTATGTTTGTAGGTAACGGTGAAATGCGCACACAACGACCCACGATAAGTGTTTCCGAGAAACCATAAACCAGCAGGAGTTTATAGTTCACAAAAACTCTATGGTGAAAAAAGGGGGGGAGGGAGTTAGAGTTCGAAAACAGTATTATATAGTATGCTAACAGTGCCTTTTATTTGTTGCCATTGCCATTATGATGTAGTGTGATCTACCAGTTGTGATCAGTTACGATACCACGACATGGGTAAACATACGGCATCACAACGACACTGACCGATTAAGACACGCTTTGTTTGAATAATGGCGGGGAAAATCGAGCACATGACATAGGTAACCGTCGTGGATTCTGGCGCTCCTTACAGCAAACGATGTTTTAAAAAAAAAACCGTCGAATACCTCATAATGCTTCGATATTATGCAATAATCATTTAACAGAACCCTAACCAGAACCGTTGGTGTTGGTTAACAGTACCTACTTACGGTAATTTCTATTTTTTATCTTAAAAAGGACTACCTATGTAATTATATTATGCTCCCGTCATGCCGTATAATATAATATTATCATATCGACAAAATATAACATGAATTGTATTATATTACACAATAATATTATTATTTATTACATCTGTACCAGAGGGTTGTTACTCACGTGTGTCACAAAACGATTGCACAGGCCGTAAGTACTAGCTGGTCAGTCACCCGTGGACGACGCTGGCTGCCGCAGCGGTCACTCTTCTGGCTCGAAGACGGACGACGATCGTTTCACTCGTCACTATCGGATGTGTCGTGTCGCATACGACAGTCAACCGGGTCGTAATGGTTTTTTTTTCAGGGAGGGGGTGCAGAAGGACGTGTAGATCAACGATGATAGCTAGAGTGGGGAGACGCTCGTGAATTGATCACGCGAAAGTTTCACGCTCGGTGCACAAAGACGCGAAAGAGTTCGGCGGGGTTAAAAATCGAAAGGAAAGGGAAAATAATCGACAAGACGAATCGAAATGATTCGAGTTCGTGCGAGACAATCAGACCGAGTCTCCCGGGATCGGACAGTAAGCCGTGCGAGTACGGTGATCGCGCCGAAGACGCGGACAGACGGACGGACGGTTGAACGAACGGGCAACGCGGAAGCGGACAGACGACTACTACGGACTGCTGGCGTGACGGGCGGCGGACGTGACGCGGCGCGCGCGGTCGTCGTCGCGTTCGTACTTTCCTCTCCGCCACCGGCCACCCTGCGCTCGTTGCCCGCACGACGGCGGCCGACGGTTGGGCGACGCCGGCCGACCGCGCGACGGGTGCGCGCGGTTCGGCCGGACGACGGCGGGGTTGTACACGCGCGCGGACTTTCCACTATGAAAACAGCGGCGGCGGCGGCGGCGTGCGTATAATATACCGTCGTTAGAGCGACGGCGCGGCCGGCGACCCTTACGACGGGCTTTACTACGGCGGTTTACGTACGATCACCGCCGACCCACCTCACCCGCCTGCGCTCAAGAACGCGTGCACGCAACGTCCACCACTGCCACCGCCAGTCCACCCACCCATCAACCCACCCGCTGACTGTTTCTCGTGAGCCTCACACACACACTCACACCACCGACGCTATGCGGCTCGGTCGAGGACAACGCGACGTCGTCGCTACAGCCACCAATCCGTATAATATAGATAATACAATAATATGATTTTAGGCGTGTGACGTGTTGTTCGCGGTACTCATACGAGCCAACCAACATGATTTTTACCGATGTCGCATGATGTTGATGTATAGTTGAAGGCAGTTGTTTTTATTGCAGTTGCTGTCGTATAAATACGCTACACAATGTGCGTAGCACTCGAGTAGAGCTCAGGTGACATACTATATTAAAAATATGAATATAATTGATATTCAGGTCCGAGGGTCTAAATAACTACGTTTTTAATAAAATATCGTGCATAATGTGTTTTTGAAATACAGACAATCATTTTTTTTTTATCGTAATTGTTAGTAGAAACCTGGGAATGCCAAATGTTTTTTTAGTTTAAAATGATTGATTTTTCTTTGTTGTCGTGCGGTCTATCTCATATATTATATATTTATCTCCACTGCTACTGATTCAGTATGAGACAGTATTATAAAGTATTAATTATTGACAATAGTATTATATTGGGTTATTCTAGGAATTTTGAGTTTAAAAAAGTACGAGCCGACCAGAATGTTATTACATAATTTAAATCACTACAGACTCATAGGCGTGAGCAAGTCTCCACAGCAGGAGAAGCTATGATGGTGAAGACATTGAGAGATATGTCTTATGATTAGCAGCTAAGATTCACCGAAATCTCTCACATTTTTTTCATACGAAATAAATCTAATTAATTGAATTTTTTTATTTCACCTCATTGTATCATTTTACTTAGAAATATACATTTATATCCATACCTAATTGAAGTTTAAAGAATCATTACTTCGACAGGACAGTAATATACCATTTTTTCGATCACCTAAAATAAACTACAAGCTTAATTTATAGAATGAAAAAATCATAAAATCATAAATGTTTGAATGAAAAAATAAATATACCAATCATAAATTTGACACTTGAAATAGATTTTATAAATATAATAACATTCATAAAAATAAATCCTTTTTGTATTTAAACTTCTAAAACATAGTTTTTGCAACGAAAATTGACTACATTATAGTATTATAATAGGATCATTCTATAGTAATATAAATATTGTTAAAATTCGTCATATTACACTAGTCAATTTTTCCTTAACGAAATGCATACTTCACAAGATTAATAATTGTTAAAATAACAATATTTTAATTTTTAATACCTACTAATGGTACATTCTAATATATAAGAAATTATAAATTATCTATATGAAAATCTTAAAAATACTTGAAGTCTTCGTAATTTAAAAAAAAGTTATAATAAAACTTAAATAAAATTTAAAAAATGTATATGTTCAGAAAATATTACAGGGAACTATACAGGAGGCAGCTGTTTCCACTGTGCACATGTCATATAGGCATAGCTGCAGTGCTTCAAATCAACGTCATTATGTGAATACAACTTTAATAGTAACGTTGTGTAAATATACATTTTGTTATTACGTGCGGCATAGCTCCTATTCCACTTTCCACTCTCCGTTAGCATTCGTAGCCGTATCGACCCCCATATAAAGATTGTATACAGTGCGAGACTGATGGAACGTAAAAAAGGGATTAATTTTGTTTTGTTTAGTATTAGTGAAAGGATTTGAAAAACCTACAGAGACGGTACTGGGCGATGCCTGGATAATCAGGTACCGCTTGAAATATTATTATCAGTGTACCAAAAATCGGTTGGTTAAAAATTGAAACGCTTATAAGTTATAATAACAGATCATTTTTTTAATATTGTATTGATCTGTAACGATATCAAAACAAAAAAATTATTCACATAATAATATCAAATCAAATAGTATTTATAACGTCGTACCCACACCTACTCGCCATCTGAATAAAATCAGGATGGTGGAAAATATATCAATCGATACAGTTGTATAACGATTATAATGATAATATGTAGCATTGGTACTGAACAATAATATTATAACGATGAAAATAAGTAATGCGATATGGAATCGACGCTAAAAGTCGGCACTTTTTCAGACAGCCACTACATAACAGCCCAATCCACTGGCAATAAAGTCAGACAAATATTATATTATTAAAATTAATCAACCAGCAAATTGTTACCTATTATAGACCTTAGGGATATAATATGATGAATGACAAGCGTGTTAAACACATTATTTATCGGCCGATATCGTATCTTGACTTTTGTATATTATTATTATATTTCACACGTAACATCGTTTTGGCGGTGGCCTGCAGCGATGTTCTCACGCGGTCCGTCGGCCGACTGTTCGGCGCCTTTCCGTCATTGGTGCGCGCGCACACTTGGCCGATCACATAATAATATTTAATAATATCGTTATGGACGGGCTATTACGACATGAGTGTATCATTAATTTATCATCAAAAGTCGTGTGTCCGAAGGTCGTTTGATCGAAAGTCATGCGGTCTGAGATCGATAAAAAAGTAAAACGGGATCGAAAGTATATTATGAATAAATAAATGTGTTACATTAAAATATTCAAACCTTTTCAAATAACTTTTCTTTTTTTCATTCTAGTGGATTTATTATTATAATAAACATTACACTAATATAATCATTTTTTTAATTATTATATTACCGTCAATGTATAAAAGTAATGCTGAACGCTATCTACGTGTCCTACCATAATATAACAACAATATTATAACCTGACATGAGTACGCATGACTATGATTGTATACAATATTAATGGGATCATTTCTCGCTGACTTGTTTGATACCACGTATCTATATTGGATTTAGACGTTGTAGTTTATGCACATGACCGATGCAGTTACGACACTGCAATATGGCGTGTGATCCGCTGGGATTAGTAGTTTAAAACTATAATAATGGATTTTTTTTATTACGTGCACATTTTATTAATTTTGAATGAAGTGCATTGGAACTTTCAGTAACAATACGTACTAAATATGAAAATCGTAAAAGCATCAAAAAATAAAAACGACAATATTTTTTGTTACAAATTACTAAGTATACTATTACGATTTGGTTACATGAAATAATTTCAAACCCCTCTTTCATTTTTAATAATATTTCCCTCATTTATCAATTAGAAATCATCACCAGAACATAATAATAACATAAAAACGTCAACGTTATGTGCGAGGGCCGTCATTCTAAGAAATCATCATACATTATATTATATACAATATACATAAACTAGTAAATTATTATATTATACAATATAGGTCCCCCCAAATGTCTTCTGCTAATTCGGTCTAATCGTCCGAAACAAAATCACCGTCTGCAGTGGCTGTTTGAAAATATATCATCGAAACGCGTTAAAGTGTTATTAACTCGCAAATAAGTCATCGGTGTCATAAGAAAAAAAATGCCACTAGAACTTTCTCTCAGATGTTCTAGAAATATATACATTTATACGTGAGTAATATACTAATATGACGTTTGTTTCTCGTTTTAAATATACAATTTAACGGTTTTAATGTTTTAATTAAATCTTTTAGTACAAAAACAATCAAACAATATTCTAATAAAGTGGTCATTTTCATATTTTAATTTGATACAAATATACAATTACCGTAGTCTGAAAATGTGAGTGGAAAATAATAAAATCAAGAAATTATTAACAATTTATTATTAAATTCTCCTTTCAGTGAAAATAAAAAATTCCCAATAGTTTTTCATGAGCGCCAGAAAAAAGAAACAAAAAATTATGAAAAAATGATATTTTTACAAAAAATTGGTTTTTAACAAAATCAATTTTTGTTTTTGGTGTAACTTTAAAATAATTACCGTAGATATAATAAATATTCACTAAATGTTTATATTTGCATTTTCTATGCAACATACAAATTTTTTAGAAAATATTTTGACTAGTGTTGAACTCTTTATGGCCATATGCAATTATCAATCAATATTAGTTTCTTTTTATTAATGTCGATATAGATTGTTATTTTTTTCTGTTATCAACAAACTTGATAATTTAATAATACGCTTGTTTTAATGTGTAATTAGCAAGTGATGGGTTTTTACCGCGAGCTCCATTATGGTATAAATTAGTTTTTTTGAATTATGTATCCGAAAAACTAGTCTCGTTTAAAATTGTATTTGGTTGTGCTTTTTCCACTCTCAACACTTTGATATCATTCCAAAATAGTTTTTTTCTCCGTCATAATTTATAGAAAAATTTTCTTATTACATTCTGTAATGTTTTTATGTCATAAAAATCAGAATACCCCAATTCTTAAACCTTAAATGGGTTTCCTGATTTTTGATAGTTTGAATTTATGATAGGTACTATTATTAGACATGGTATTGTGTTGGCGAATAAACAGGCCCAGATTTTAAGGATTTTAAATTTGTTTTTCTATGACAGAATGTGTCTTCTTCATTTTGAGTATGTCCGACTACTAAAAACTTGTGATTGATCGTATCAATATACATATTTGTTGTTGAATACAAATATATTGATGTTATTATTGTTATTAGATTAAGTTGTGTTTATCAAGATGTTGGTTATGATAATATAAAATCTATGATAGTGTAAATCGAGTAATCTGAATTTAACATGTTATTTATAATATTAATAGTATGCTTCTTAATATTATTTTAATAATAATAGTATATGTGATTCATGCTATTTTTAGAATTATAAAATTATATTCTCGTAATTGAAGATAAGGATTACTTATACGTCTTATACCTACTATGTCCAAGTTACTGACCACTTTTAACAATCCTAATATACACTAGGTTAAATACAAATTGTAAAACTATGCAATAAACTAATACAATGTGCCGTTGTGCTGTACATAATATTGTGTCAAATGAATNGGTGACGTATCACCTAGATCCCCGTCATATTAGATCCCCATGGTCATCTAGCTCCCCTGTGGTCAACTAGATCACCTGTGGTCAACTAGATCTTCGTGAGTCAATTAGTTCCCCGGTCAACTAAATCCCCTTTGGCCATCTAGATCTATATAACGGTCTTTAAGATCACCAAATTTATATTTTCCCCTAAAGATCTAGTTGATCTCAAAATTAGTGATCTAATTGACCAATATAGGAACAGTTAATTATATAAATAGCATAATTAAAATGAATTACATTATATATTATAATTTATTTATATTTTACTACATTATACTATATTATCCAATATCCATTCATTATACTTAAACTAAAATTAATACCTAATAATAATTTATATACAAATACCTATGTAAAATAGCATTTTTTTTTGATGAAATCAAAAATATCCTTTAATCACATACCATTATAATAATATCTATTCATACGAGTTACATAACAGCTAGAATAGGCGCTCAAACAATTGAAAAATTTTAAATTACAACGGTTTACATAGGTATTATATTACAAATATAAGAAGTTTGAATTTATATTTGACTATCTGATTATTAATTGTTTTTAAATGAAGACAAGACAAGACATCTCCAATTAATACAATTTGTCGATGATTAGTAATGCCAAATTGTCTGTTGAAGTTGTATATGACCTCAAAACCAAAAAATAAAACGTAAGAGTTATGTCTAATTATTCATAAAATATATATATACAATAATAATAATAATACAATAATACATAGTTTAGTAAATAAAAATAATTAAAGACTTATATTATACTAAGAAATTGTAATAGGTAATATTAATAATTATTGTTCAATAACCTATTGGGTTTTTTTTTACCACAATAACAGGTACCTACACAATTTGTTTATTGTTTAAAATTTGAATTTTTGAAATTTTAGACTAATGCAACAATAATATAATATAATATTATAATACATTGATAAAATGTTTCAATGATCTATACAAATTATTTTACAGATAAGTAGCTGAAAACATACAGGACATGAGTGAAACCTGCAGTGATGTGGCTAGCTGTTTTAACACAAGGAGCAAATGTTTAAGTCTACCCACCTACATTTTTGATATTTAGTTGTTATTCAAAAATTAATAACGAATAAAATTAATAAGCCAGGCAGACAATTGAAATTTTCAAAAATTGTTAATATTAGAATTGTTCTTATAATTATAATAAATAATATCAAAACTTTAAAATTATCAATAATGATATATTATATAATAGGTGTACTATAAAAAAGGTGGGCAAGTGGGTGTCGCTCCTCTGTACAGTAGGTTACAAGTGGGTCACTGTCATGGATGGTGATCAATTTGAATTCAAATATATAAAACCATTAAATACGAAAAACGATTCTGAGTGAAGACCTGATCTGTCAACCTATGATATTATTAAGTAGGTAGGTGTATTTGATAATTTTATTGTGGTTAAAGTATTTAATTTATTTTACCATTGTCCATTATAGGGATTGGTAGGTACCTACAGGCTACAACAGCAGGTTAAATTCATTTTTGGCAAAAATAATACATTTGAAAATGTCATTGTGTGTTGAAAATATAATAATATCAAAGGTACTCTAAAAAGCGTTGAAGCATACAGACCAAGTACAGGAAATATGACTAGTATTGCAGACATGCAATCACCTCAAGAAAGGTCAGGTAAATTACTTGAAGAATATTTAAAAATTATTTTATTTACATTTTTAAATGCACTGAAGTAAAATTGAAGTTTTAATATAGGAGTAGTTGCATTAGAGGGTTTGTTGTATGTTGTCAGTGAAAGATATGAAGATGATTATTTGGATTCTGTAGAAGTGTACAGTACTACAGTCCCATCACCTATACCTGGGCCATTCTAGGAGCATTAATGAATGCACCATGGGATTTTGCGGGAGTGCTAATAGTAGCCATTAATAGGCTAATTATACCTAATTTTTAAAATGTGTTAGCCTACATGGTTTTTTTTTTTGTAGTTACAACATGTGTATTTTGTATTTTGTACCATAATAAATTAATTGTTTTTCTATTAATTTTACATTTATTGAATGTTTTATTAAAAGGTAATTGTACAATATAAGTTGACTAATAATAAAATAAACAAGGTTTAATATGTATTAAATAGTATAGGTACTTATATGTAAAAAAAGTGTAAAACAATATTATTATATACCTGCTTTTTTCTCTTTGTTTTCAAGATCCCAGTCACTATGTTAGTACGATTTGTCGAGCACCCATTTAATTTAATTATAGACATTTTATAATAGGTATCTAACAACTTACGACTATTATCCAGAAATACTTACCAGAAAGATTTATTGTTTTTTATATTGTATAGGTAATTTATTATGTTTATTTTTAATGCATAATACTGTTATATTGATTAATAAGTATGTTTTGATTCAAAATTTAAATTCAAATTGTATGAATACTGAATTTAATATATATAAATGATAAACAGAAAGAAAAGCCATGAACAATATTATAATATGTTAATGATCTAAATCTACATTAAAAACTTTCATAAAATTGATAATTGTATATTATTTTGTATCAAATATATTTTGGAACGTTTTTAGACTGTACTTAAAACTCTTATATTAGCCCATAAGAGGAAATTTAGTTTACCTACCTAATAACTAGAGAATGACTATACCATCATATTATATAGATAGAGTATAGGTAGGTTAGTTAAAAAGTATTCCAAACAGAAATGATTAAAAGTCATTAAATTACTTGAATTAGAATTAATTTAATATCTGCTAAAAGTTAAAACCAAGATAGACAAGTAATTAACAATGCAGTTTAAAAGTAACTTCTTTACAAAAAATATTATTTAAACTTTGTTACCTATATAATATAATAATATGCCCATACGATTTATACATAAGATTAATACTCAAGACATATTTAGGTATTCAGTATAAATATAGTATAAATGTATAATGGACATATATAGATATAATAACCTATACCTAAGGTTTTTTTATAAAACAATCAATTTTATTCCGATTATTTTTACCAAATTGAATGTATTTTAAACATTTAAAGTTTGAACTATTGTTATGTATGCCTAAGTGGTGTACCTTACAGTTTATACAATATGATAAATATATAATTTGCCTACCTACCAGCTTAGTAGGCACTTATAACATTGTTTAACTGCATATCATAAATCTATTACATTTTTGAAAATTATATTGAAAAGGTTGTATGTTATATATTGCATTAAATTTTCACGCATTTTTACTCAACAAATAAAATTTTATTAATATTTAAAGAAAAAAAAACTAAAAAAATTGAAAACTGACAATGTCCGTAAACAGCTCAAAAAGAGTCAAATTATTTTCAAAATTTTATCGTGTATAGAAAATGCTGATAAAAACATTCAGTGAAGTTTTCAAGTATCTACAGTCATACGATTTTTAATTACAACAAAATGAGAAAATCGTTACATGAGAAATCGAGTGAATATCAATTGTTGTAAAAATATGAATTTCAAACGCTCATAAAAATTTAATTTAATTTTCTTGTAGACATTTTTTTTTTTGATAAAGGTAGACAAACTTATGAGGAATCTTATATTACATTTTCAAATTTAAGATTTAAAAAGAAAAATTTTTATGAATTCTCAACTCAAAATAATTGCTAATTTTCGTGATAATTCCGTATTTTGTCAAGATTTGAACTTTAAATGCTTATAAATAAAAACTGTGACTAAGGATTTTTAATTTTTTTCATCTGCCTTTGAAACAATATACTATAGTATAGGAGTCTTCTATTAAATTTATAAGCTTTTTTAACCAATAAATAAAATTTTATTGATATTTATAGAAAAAAAAACTAAAAAAAATTGAAACTGAAAATGTCCGTAAACAACTCAAAATAAGTCAAAATATTTGTTAAATGTTATTATGGTGTAAGTATAGAAAATGCTAATATAAACATTGAGTCAAAGTTTCATATACCTACGGTCATTTGTTTAAGAGTTGCACCAAAAATCAAAATCGATTTTTTCGAAAACAGATTTTGTGTAAAAATTCCCGTTGTTCCTTAAATTTTCTTTTGTTTTTCACGGCGCTTTTGAAAACTACTGGAAAAATTTTACTTTTGACACCCCCAATGTACCAACTAGATTCACTTTCCTATCAGAAAAGATAGGTACTGTTGAATAATATCCAAGCACTTTTACTGTCCTAAAAGGTGATGACAGACACAAAAAAAAAATAAAAATAAAAACACATCATTGTAAAATCAATACATTCATCGCTCCGCTCAGAATCTAAAATGTATTGTACTAATGTTTAATTATTCCAAGAATATTTGATGTGACTCTGTGGTCCCAAAGTATTATAATAGATAAAATTATAACACAAACATTGTGAAGAAGGATACCAATAAAATAAATTTCTGGTTTATTAAGCTAGCTATATTATACATTTTGAGTACCTATGCAGGGAAAAAATGTGTGTAGGTTAGGTTTTGTTAGGTATTTTATTATAAAGGTGATTTATACATACATTTATTTACCAAGTCTAAATATCACTGTACACTGGTATCCACAATATAAAATAAATACATTAAACGAATCTATACACATAGTTCGTCAAAAATAGTAACAATATTGTGATATTTTCATACTAATATAACTTATAAGTGACATATTAAATCAATTATACAAATATTCTACAGTTTTTGCCCCTACTTGACCTCCCCCCCCCCAAACAAAAAACATTTTCTATGTGGCCTGGTAATGATCTGAATGGACTGCAAACATTTTGGCACCAACAAAAAAAAGTTGAAATGATGCCCCTGAATATAACAAGTAGAAATAATAATACTAAAATCTACTAAAAATACAATGATATGCACATAAATAGGTACATAAGTATTTTTTATTATACAATACTTATATGTGCTACATTAGAATATAAACATGGGTATGATATAAATTTCAAGTGTCTACGGTTATTCGTTTTTGAATTATTATATATATTATATTAATATAATAGCTTATTAATCATTATATTAATTAATTTTCTAAAAAAAAAATATAAAAACTTTTGCTCTAAATATTATTAAAATTCCTATACTTAATATGTATAAAAAATATAATTGTTCATGTTTCACTAAAAAATGAGCGAAATTCCGATATGTTCCTTCACATGAAAAAGTAACTACCCTAAGTCCCTGTTAAGTTACTGAAAATTGAACGAAATCACTGGAAATAGTTCATTTGAACGCTTGAGCACTGCCGCTAACCTATTATCTCCGTTCTACACCTACGGAAGGTCGGAAATTACTAATATAAAATAACAACTCATAAGAACAATTAATTTCTTCCCCATTATTCTGGCAATCCGGTGTTATATATTAATATATTATTATAAATACAATCCATTTTGAGAAAAGTTGCAATCACTTAATGGATTTTGGTAAATTACTATGTATACGGGCATTTATAAACTATATTATTTAACAGTTAATCACTTATCAGTTATTACTTGATACTTATTAGTTATAACTAGTATTAGCTACGTATTAAATATTAATTATTATTTATTAATGTCCACTTAATTACATGAAAACTTGTGTTTGGTCCCGATTTTGAGATTATTCAGGATAACTTTTATTGTATCAAAATATGATATCTGTAACACAGAATAATTAATTTTATTATTATACGAGTATCTGTTTTAAGCATATTATAAATTATAATATAATATATCTATACGGTTATAACTTATAATCGATAAACTAAATTGATAACTGTGTAATTGAAAAAAAATAAAAATTGTGGCGGTACAGAATATTTCGTTGTATTGTATTCTCTAATTTAATCTATATATAATAAAGATATTAATACTTAATACTGTGGGCAAAAAATAATTTCAGGCCATGTATTAATGTAAATATTATGAAAAAAAATAAAAATGTTATAATCATTAGGTACATAGATAAGTACATTTTAAAATATTTTGATGGTTTTTTAGCTATAAATAGGCATAAGAAAATATCGATTTTTATTAGTTTTTTAAAAAATTACTGTCGACAAAAATTTCATGTTATATCAAAAAGCTTAAAAACCTAATACAAGGTTCCTCATAAGTTTTTAATAATACCTACTGGAATTAAAATTAAAAGTTGAGCGTAATTCCAGAAATATTTTTTACGAAGTTAAAAGTTCTCTGAAGTTTGACGAATTAGGATTATTCAAGCTTGAAATAACATTTTTGATCTTTTGTTTTAATTCAAAATCGGATAATCGTAACTAGATACTTTAAATTTTTACCAAATGTTTATAGTAGCATTTTCATTACATGCTATAATTTGTGTTGTTTCTTTTTGAGCTATTTCCTTGACATGTTTATATTTAAAACATTTTTCTATACTTAATTAATATCATTAAAACATTAAAACATTTCACTAGTTATTAACACAATAATAAGTGTAAATAACAACAATTCACTATTAATATTCATAGTATACAGGCGCGGATCCAAGGGGGGGGCCAAGGGGCCATGGCCCCCCCCGTAGACTGGTGGATTTTCTATTATATCTATTTTCGGCAGCCGATAAAATGTATTGTTTTGCCGATAGCGTTTCTTCGAATTTGGTTTTAATTATTGAAGCATTAGATAAAATATCTGAATGGAACGATCTTGAAACGTCCTCAAAAGCGTCTATTCTAATAAAATCATTGTCAAGTGCGGAATTTATTTTAACATTAAATCTTATGTCCGATATGTTTTCAATAACTGCACCAATAAGTAGAATTTTGCAATCAAAAAGTCAAGATAAATTTTCGGCTTCTACATTAATAAATAATGTACTTAGTGTTTTAAAAGAAAAACGGAAAAACAGCGTTGAAAATTTTAATTTAATTTTTAATAATAGTAAACAATGCTTGGAAAAAATAGGAATTTTCGACGATATTAAAATCCCAAGAATAACAAAACAAATGACTAAAAGAGCTAATCCACCAACTAAAAATCCAGAAGATTATTTTCGTATCGTTTTGTTTATTCCATTTTTAGATGACTTAATTACCGACCTTGAGTACAGATTCGATAAAAAATCAGTGTCAGTGTTTGATTTAGATATAATTTTGCCAACGTTTATTCATAATAAAGACGTTTTTAATAACCAAAAAGAAATCCAAAATAAAATTAACAATATGATGGCACAATTTTGTGAATTAATATCTATTAATTTGAACTTATCGGAAGACCTCGTAAAAAAATATTTCGAAGGAGAGCTTCAATTGTGGCATACATATTGGACAAATGAAAAAGAAATTCCAAAAACATCATTAGAAGCTTTTGAAAGATGTGATTCCGAAACCTTTCCAATTATTTATAATTGTTTTCTCATACTCCTGACATTACCAGCCACTTCAGCAACTGCGGAACGAAATTTTTCTTCTCTTCGCCGACTAAAAACTTGGATGCGATCAAGAATATCCGAAGAACGCTTAAATGGACTTGCATTACTTAACTGTTATAGAAATATTAGTATTGACTGTGAAGAAGTAATTGACGAATTTGCCAAATCTAAAAGACGAATGGATTTTGTTCTGTGATCATTTTTTAATATTTATTATATTTTATTATTAATTATTATTTATTATATATTACGTGTCATTATTAATTAAACAATTTATATTACTTATCTAATTATTTAAAAGACGAAAGGATTTTGTTCAGTGATCATTTATTATTAATTATCTAATAATTTTATATATTTTATTGTACTGATAAACTGGTATTTAAATAATAATATTTATCTATTAGCTTACATGGTATGTACAATGTTTTTATAATACTTAGGCCGAAATTGTATTTAAGATGGCCCCCCCCGTAAATATGTTTTAGATCCGCGCCTGATAGTATAATAAAATTGTATAATAATTAATAAATGCAATGTTTTCAGTAGGTAAACATTAAACCAATACCTACCTACTATAATACAAATACCTGTGGTTATTAAAAGGTATAGTTATGTATATTTAAAAATCTTCAATTTTGTGTTTTTTCTTTAAACACAACTCCTACACTATAATATAATATGTTATTGTGATACCAGTTTAAACTCTGGTATATTGATCCAAGTATATGATACTATTGCAGGAGGTAACAATTTATAACCTGACCTCCAAATAACAACGGTTACCTATCTCTTATGCACAACCTATCACTAATTTATTTCAATTTATTTAGTTAATAGGCTATATTATATCATGACGAAGTGTCGAAGTAAGTTTGGTAAGGATCGATAATTTAAAACAAGGTTCCACGTAAATAGGTTGTACCTATATAAATTATTTTACTCACAATAATATCATCAAATATACTTGGTAATATCAATATATCATTGGCTGACTCTGCTTTTAGAATCGTTTTTCTTATACAATGATATTATGTCATTGAATTCAAATTTAACACCATCCATTATAGTGACCCACTTGTAACCTACTGTACAGCAGAGCATACCCACTTGCCCCCTTTTTATATGTTTATTATGCTATACATAAAGTTATAAAAAAAAATTAATTTAATTAATAAGACATGTAAAAACCTGGAATACGGACTAAATGGTTATTGCCTATTGGATTATTATTGTTTTCGTGGCAAATCTAGCAAAAATACATGGTAAAATTTTTTTTATTCAATCGTATACCTAGTTTAAGTTAATTTTTAGTCATGCTTTTTTTCTACTTTTTCCAAACAATTGTATCCTTTTTATATTATTAATACTGCTATAAAATCTGAGCCCTACTTATCACTTACACAGACACGAAACAATTAAAAATACGCAGAAACTAAAATAATTACAGAGAAAAAAAATTCTAGTTTCCCGTAAATCAGTAAATCCGAAGCTTTAAAATACTTATTAAGTTGTAATAGGTATCTTAATTCGTTCAATAAATATTAAATACTAAATGACAAATGACTGAATATCTTAGAAGTTAAATTTGTAGTATTCTGGTATTCAGTATTCAAGAATCAAGATAGCTACACATTTTTCCAGATTAATAATATTATTAAATTTTGTTAGATTTTAATAACCCTCATTATTCCATCGTTCGTCAATCATTACAGTTATGTATGTTACGAGTGATTGATGCCGTATAGTATGCGTTATTAGTGGTTTATAATATTTTCAAAATAAATTATAAAACACGATAATTTAATTAAATGGAGAAAGTTATTCGTGAGATTGGTGGTTCGAGAGGCACAGGACTTAAATACAAAGACGACGATGGATATACTTATTGGAAAAATCGACAATGTCGAATGCACTTTACTATTCGTTGTGCATCCTGGAGAGCTGGGTAAATTTAATAATTTTAAACAATCACCTATATTTCATTATAAAAAATTACCCACCTTTCTTTTCTTTACATTAAAATATTTAAAGATTTAGAAGTCATAAATTCGATTTAAGAATTTTTTTGTCTTTTCACCTCATTGTCATCCAGGCTACTGCAGGTATAGATTTAAAATAATGAAATTTTGCTGACCATGGTTAGTACTGCAGTGATCTTGCTGTACTATAGTAGATTTTATTCTAAATGGTTGTGTTATTAAGTAATAGTGTATACCATAGGTATTATGTAATTTAGTAATTTATTAGTAGTAGAGGAACCTATATATGTTTATATTTTAAATATTATTTTCTTTTTTAGTTGTCGTGCAAAAGGCAAAGTTTTTAATAGCGACACTTCGAAAGTTTTTTTGACGACAGGCCACGAAACTCATCCAGAAAATCAATTGGCATTAAATAGATTCAAAAATATTTGTAATCAACGGGCACAGGCTGAACAAATACCACTTCGTGTCATTTATAACGAAGTAAGTTACCTATATATTTATCATAATTACAAACACCAATTATATAGCAAGGTAGTTAATTGAAAAGTATTATTATACGATATTTTTTTTAACTTGTTTTCATACATAAGTGTTTTGTCCTGAAAATGTAGGTATGAAATGTAAATATTATGGCGTGATCTTTAATAGGTATGCATTTAAGATGATGTAAGCGTACTGTTTATTTTCTCTCTGGCCCACGTGCAAAATAGAGAAGAGGCATTCACATAAAATAATTTTTTTTTTTATGTTTTTGAGTTATCTTGATTAAAATCACACATCCCAAAAATTATAGAGAATAAGTGTATGACAAATATTTGCCCAAATATATTGTCTCAAAAATCAAAACAATTCAATAAGTATAACCATTTAAATGTTATGCCTATTTTTCAGTAAAATAATAATAAAATATAAAATAGACATTATAATTTTTTTGTCACGTCTGCACCGAAAGTTTAGTTTTTGATGACAGTTGAAGCGGAAAGTGACCTTTTCGGGCGGTAAAGTGGAAATCCCAAAATGTGGTCATTTGAAGCGCAATTGGTAAACTCCCTAAGCAGACACTGATCGATTAACGCAGAGGTTTGACATAAAATAGTTGTGGCTCGTAAGGGAAGGCAATTTTCAAAAAGCTCACTTTCCGCCCTTGCCAGTTGCTACACAATATTAAATATACTATAGTAATAATAGGTTATTCAAAAATCATAAAAAAATGGTTTTCCATGACTTTTTATATACGTTGCACGTCAGTCTGTGAGAGAAAACAAATATTGCGCTATACATCCTATTGATAATTTGTGTTTATTTAATGCTTCTGATTTATTTAACGATATAATATAGTAAATAAATTATACTATATATGTCACCTAGTATACATTTAATATTTTTATAATTAATTAATATTTGTAAACAGAGGACACAGAATGATCAAATTTCTCTCCGTCTCATCTACAATTAAGTATATGAATAATATTGTTACTAAATATTAAATCAAAAAGTAAAATTTATTGACTCACTTTATGTATAAACATACCTATTAAGAGTTTTACATAATTTCTATATACAAAACACTAAAATATTTTTTTTTGGTAAATACATTTGTACATTAAATTTTTAAATTTGAATATGAAAATACATTTTAAGACATGCGGTATGGCAGATTTTGTAAATGTTCATGTCGGTTCATTTGTCTCACTGCATAGAACAATGCGCAGACATAGGCGTCAAATTCATCCAGTCACTCCTCAGTCTATGACTGAATTCCACTTACAATTAACAGGAGAATATGCGCACTTGTCTATGTTACAAAATGAAACAATATACTCTGGCATTGTTGGTGCAACTCCAGAAGAAGGAACCACTTTACTTTTCATTTTGCCTGGAATCAAAAAGTATATAACTATAAAATATAATAAACTTCATTTCAAATAAATAATAATTACCTATAGGCACTGTCTTATTATACAATTAATTTAGTTTACTTAGGACTGGTTCAACTTTTTTGTTGGATGGCACATTTTCTAGTTCACCAAGTTTTGGAAACGAATGCCACCAATTATATGTCATAATGGGCATAACATTTAATACTGTAAGTTTTGTATGTAATTTGTAAATAAATACTATTAAATTATAAAATAACTGTTTTACTAATTAGATTATTTTAAGTTATTTTTTTTAAAATCTATTTATAAAAATATTTTTTTCAGGGATTTCCTATAGGTTTTGCATTGATGTCGAGGAAAACGGAAAGGGCATACACGGCGCTTTTCAATAAGGTTTTAAGTATAGTACCAGAGTGGCAACCTCAAACCATAATAGTTGATTTTGAAAGGGCAGCTATTGCTGCTATAAGAACAATATTTCCAAATACCACTATTAGAGGCTGTTGGTTTCATTCCTCCCAAGCGGTATGGAGAAAAGTTGCAAACATAGGTAAGATTACTCTAAAATCTGAATTTTGTAATTAATAATAAATGAAATGTATAGTCAATTAATAACACTGGTTAATATTTAGGATTGATTGAAATATGTAGTAACCATCGAGGAGCCTATGACACTGTGCATATGTTGATGGCATTGCCTTTGCTGCCGACAAATAGTATAGCTGAAGGTTTTGAAACTGTAAGGGCATACAATATTGAGAATGTGCAATCATTGATTAGCAATAATAATGATTACAATTTTACATTATTATTTGAATATTATAGATCAACATGGCTTGCAGGTCTGTAAAATACAAAATAATAGTTTTAATATAATATTTCTTGTTCATACAACTAAACAAATTTATAACTAACCCTACACCATTGACAATAGGAATAAACGCAGATATATTGTCGGTGAGTGACACCGTTTGGCGTACTAACAATGTGATGGAAGTAAGTCACCAACATCTCCAAATGCACATGCAAAATCGGCACAATCCTGAGCCATGGGTGTTTTTGAGTAATTATATTTTTATTTATTTAACACTAGAAAAGGAATATATCAGTATTTTATATTTACAGAGGGGCTAATTACTTACTCAAATGGTGTTTTGAACGATTATAATGAGGCTACTGATGGTGGTCAAGTAAGACAACCTCAACGGCAAGTTTGGATAGATCAGCAAAGGAATTTAGATAGATCCTTGAGGCTGCTTACAGAACAACGCTACTCAATGTTGGAGTTTTTAATATGCGCTAGGCATTCAACACCAACTTTTGGTGTAATACGGCCTCAACACCAAGCTATTGTAGTACCTGCTGCTGTCTTTCCACAAGCTCCATTACCACTCCCCGTTGATCAGCAGGACATACAACCTCAAGCTATTCCTGTGCTCCCTGCTAATGCTTTACTACAGGCACCATTACAAGAAGAACCAGCTTTATTACCACTGCACGATGATCAGCATCAGGAACTGATTCGTGAAGAAATAATGAGAAGGATTTTACCACGTAGACCAGCAGTGCACGTTCCTCGAGATCGTATGATTTTTCATTATAATATTACTGATACAGATTTCCAATAAAATATACTAATAAATAAATCACTTGTCTTTAGTTTTTTATAATCTTGATGCCGATGCAGATTATTCAGATGAAGATGTGTCTACCGAACAGTCTGCGAACAGTCCATCAGTTATTTACATTGAACGTGCAGATTTGACAAGTAAGTAGTAATTATCTGAAATTTGTTTCTAGGTAAAGTAATTGATTAAAAATAATGATGTTTTATTATTTTAAAGTTATACCAATAGAAGAGGAAACGTGTTACATATGTTTGTACAGTCCACCAACAGTGGTAGCGTATCCATGCCTACACCAAGGCCTATGTGGAGCTTGTCATGAAAGTTATTCAAGGATGCCTCCGAATGAGCATAGGCCATATTACCGCTGTCCACTTTGTAGAGCTGGAATAGAAATCTACTATATATTAACTTGAAAATTATAATTAATTATTTATCTTATCAATTAAATATCAACTAGCCATGAACCTACTTTCACTTTTTATTTTTTAACAAATTAAACAAAATTAAACTAATTTTCTTGGTATGACATACATTTCAATTTAACTTGGGTTTTGACTGTTTTGAGTAAGTTTAACACATTTTCTTGATATATCATATTAATATAAGTAACATATTATAGGTAGGTATACTGCAAGTACCTACATTGAAATTAAAATTGTTACCAATTATGTGTTCATTATCAATTGTGATTATAATCAGATGTGATTAAATATAATTTACAAATACTTTACAAGTCTAAACTACCATATTTATTTATAGAAAATACTACTCAGTCTATATATCTACTATACTGTATCACTGTTACTACTTACTACAAGTTACAACAGTCCACTAGTCAACCTAATAATAGTTATTAAGAAGTTTTTAGTTAAATTATAGTAATTATTAGGTATTAAAATTAAAATGCAAAACTTACTTTTGAAATGACTGAAATAAAGGATTACAGTCTACAAGTAGACATTACAATATAATAGGTAGTATTTAGCAGTAAGTTTCCGTTATAGAAGATTATGTTATAATTTACAATAGGCTTATTTACCTACTTACATGTCGCATTGTCACCATTTTATTTCTTATGGACAGATGAGACCAGCACGTTGAAGGTTTGAAAGTTCACGTTTTGTTAAAAAGGAACTACTTAAATTGTTTCTTCTTCCTAGTTCCCGTTAAAGAACATTTTTCGTACCTCAATCAATTTAAAATTGTATTAAAATAATAAGAAAAAAATAATTAGGTTCTGTTTTTAAAATGTAGTTTGTTTATATAATCCAATATAGGACCAATAAGAACACCCAGACTGACTTGACATTTTGCGAACATAGTCAATATCATCATAAGAGAGTAGTCTACAGTCGTGGTCAATGAGACCATTATAATTTGTCGAAACTAATGTTTCATGAAATCATGAATATGACCAAACTTACTTCGACACTTCGTCATGATATAATATAATATATAGCCTATAAATAAATTGAAATAAATTAGTGATAGGTTGTGCATAAGAGATAACGGTTGTTATTTGGAGGTAAGGTTATAAATTGTTACCTCCAACCAGTGGCGTATATAGAAATATTTGTTGGGGTGGGCTATAATAGATAGAAACTAGCAAGTGATATACTACTTAGAAGCTACTGTCTACTATAGATTTAAAAGTTTCTATAAATATATTCGTATTTGTTATTTTTCAACAGACTATGAAATATCATAACTTTTAATAGTACCTAATAAAATATATTGTTGTTCTATTTAAAAAGACTGTAATTTTGGGGTGGACTGCAGCCCACTATGTCCACCCCCTATATACGCCACTGCCTCCAACAGTCCAACGTATATTCATCGGTTTCCGATGAAAACAGTTGGAAATAAACGATGGATCTTCGCAGGAAAGAATTTTCCGTTTAGTAGTTAGTAGGTCACTTACCACTCGACTAAATTACTGGCATAGTCTGAACTAGCCTTTAGAGAAAAAAACAATACGTTTAGTACTTTAGTATAAAATAAGTTTAATATAATATTTTATAATGTTATTTTAAATTACCGCCACAGAAGGGGTATCTAGTAGATCAAGGGAGATCTAAACGCCAAATGGGTAATTTAGATCCCCAACTACGATGGTGTCAACTAGTTCCCTATGGTTATTTAGATCCCCTGTCAATTAGATCCCGTTGTGTCATTTAGATCACGGGGATCTATTTGGACGGGGATCTAGGTGTCCGTTCACCCAATAAACTAATACAATGTGCCGTTGTGCTGTACATAATATTGTGTCAAATGAATCAGGAATAGCGTCACAACTCAAAAAATAAAAATAATTTTGAGTTGTGATACTATTCTTTCAGCAGTGATTATTTGCAAATACCTACATTTCAGTTAGAAATTTACTAAAATGTTTTTTTTTTTTTATATCAAAGATAATATGAAAATGTAATCTTAGATTCCCCTTAAGTTTAAGTACATTTAACAAAAAAAAGTTCACTTGAAAATCAAATTAATATTTTACGAGAGTTTGAAGGCTAGACATCGGATATTCACTCGTAAATTAACAAATTCTTATATATAACGATTTTCCAATTTTGTTTTTATTCAAAAAATTATAACTTGATACCTACTTGAAATCGTCATAAAATGTTTATTTTATTATTTACTTTACATGAACAGTTTATGAACAGTTTACGAACATTATCAATTTTCAATTGTTTCAGTTTTTTTTTGTAAATGTCAATAAAATTGTATTGGTTCGGTCAAAACGATTGAAACATTACCGCAACACATAGTAGCATCCTACACATTATTTCAATATCATTTTAAAAATACAAAAAATACATTCACAAGATTATTTTTGAAAGCATTTCAATTTTTAATTTTTCAAAATTTATTTATTATTTTGTAGTTAAAATTTATAAAATTATCAACTTTTATAACTAAGGATTGAACATTTAAAACAAGATTTTTACATGCATTGTACATTATATAACCAAAATATCTAAAAATATATATACATAGTTTTATTTCATACTTAGTTATTTTAAGTTCAAATTTGGACATAATCGCATATTAAAACCGAGAATAACAGTTCTAATTATTTTGTTGTAATTTAAAAATATTATTTGTGGGTACTTGAAACTTTTAGAGTAGGTATATTATTATATTTTATACATACAACAACATTTTCAAATGCAATTTTTTCGACATAAATTATTTTAACCTACCTACAGTAATACTAATGGCAGTAATAGCTGATAGTTAATAAATTCATTGCTTTAATCACAATAATATCATACAATATACCTAGTACCTACTTAGTAATATTATAGACTTTTTAACCGTCTTCACTCAAAATTAATGTTTTGTATGCAGTGATTTTATATCATTGAATTCAAATTTAACACAAACATTATATTCACTCTCTAGACACTGAATACACAGCAGACCGTTATACCCACTTATCTGCTTTTTTTATTACATATTTATTGAGGTAATTTATTTATTTGATAATAATTGAATTCGACCAGAATCATGTTCATAGAATTGTTTGTTGAAATGTATTATTACCACTCTAGTATTGTTCCTTATCACTAATTTATTATCATTACTTTGCTAACAAACCGATTGACTACACATCAACCTAAGAAGTTGTATATTATTGTACAGTTATCTTCATGAAATACTTAATACCAATACAAATTTAAATTATACATGCTACCTATTATGATTATAAAATTATTATTATTTCAACCAGAACCATAATATTACCACTAGTTTATTATTGTTAATATTTAATTTTTTTTTCGTATGCAGTGTTTGTTGGGACAACACAGCAATAGACAAATCTAATATATTGAAACAGTCGTGATTGAGATGATTAGTTGACATTTAAATATTTAATGATAAAATATAAATTATTTAACGACATTTTGTTTTATATGTGCATTCTTCAACAAAGAGCCTACCACGCAGAAATTGTGTATTAATAATTTTTTCTTCAAAGTGAATTTTCTTTTAAAAAATCAACACCTGTAGGTAATACAGAAATATTATTGTAACATTGTATTATCTATGCTTCCCTTATGATTGAGTTTAATATGTTTAAATAGTGGTCACACACAACAACTGAAATATGCAAGAAAAAACACTAAATTATAATATTTATTTATTTTATATCTTTTTTACACTTAGGTCATAACGATTGATTATTTAAATATTTTTGCAATGGGTTTTTTTAATTCTCTTTATTATCTCGAATATTTGTATTTGCTTGGTTGATATTCAGCTTATTCGAATTTGTTCAGATAAAATATCAATATCAAATAGAATTTAATACGAAACATTAATATGTAGTGTTTGTTAGTATTCAGGCTTATTTTACATTTTTTTTTACAATTTATCTCATTTTAGAAAATAATTATTATATTATTGTTCTTTTTTTTCAATGCCTGTTTGAACATTTATTTTTTCTGAATTTGTTCTGCAATTTTACTCGATACTTTGTCTGCTTATTATTATTATTGTATATTAGTGGTGTTGTACTCCTCACAAATAAATAACTAATAAATTGTTACTATGTATTGTATGCTCATCTTCCGATTTGGATCGCAAGTAGGTTAGGTTAAACGGTAGGTGCAAATCACAGGTACTACACTAGTTGGGTCCTCCATTATTTTAGTTAAGACACTAGTTGAATAGCTAATATTTTTTGGTAAGTACTAAATTTTATTAAAATTGTTTTCCCCATTTTAACAGATTTAAATTATCTATGATCTACTTAAACTGTGGACCAAAAGTATGGTTGACAATGTCATCCTGAGCAGAGATATAAATGTATTGACATTACAGTGTTTTTTTTTTTTATTTGTGACTGTCGTCACCTTTTGGGACAGTAAAAAAGCTTTAAATTTTTTACTTCAGAATCTTTTGTGGTAAGAAAGTGAATTAAGCTGCTACTCCAGAGAATCAAACATAAAAATTCCAGTAGTTTTCAAAAGCGCTGGAAAACACAACAAAACAATTAAGGAAAACACAGATTTATACACATTAACAATTTTTACGATATTAGTTTAGTTTTTTAGTGTAACTCTAAAAAAATACCTTCTGATGCATGACATTTCTACTGAATGTTTATGTAATGTATAGTTTTCAAAAATTGTTGTCATTTTTGAGCTATTTATAGACATAAGATAATTTCGATTGTTATTAGTTTTTATTTAACTATTGTCGATAAAAAGTTTTTCTCTCAGTCAAAATACTTCAAAATGTAACACAAGATTTCTCTTAAGTTCTCTTACCTTTAATTCAAAAAAAAGTTAACTGGAAAGTTAATTAATTTTTTTATGAGCACATGTATTTTAAAGTTTTACGACATTGGATATATGTCCCTATTTTTCATGGAATGATTTTATTATTTTGTTAAAATTATTCAAAAACTTATAACTGTAGATACTTGAAACTTGTATCAAATATTTGTATTGTAATTGTCTATACGTGATAACATTTTAAAAATATTTTGAATACTTTTGGGCTATTTACTGACGTTTGAAATATTTAAGGTTTTTAAGTTTATTTTCTATTAACTTGTTTTTCGTTGGTTCAAAATGCTTAAAAGTTGAATACCTTCATTATTTACAACTATCCCTAATTTAAAGGAAACTTATCACAATACGACGCACACCAAGCTGATATTGTGTACACTCGTATTATAAATAGTGATAACAGTGAATGTACGAAACGCTAATCATAAATCTATGTTATATAAGTGATTTGCATTGAATTCAATAGTTACAACTAGCGAAGTATCAAAGTGAGTATACTTTTATGGCGTTATAATCAGATAGGCCTTGATGAGCTTTAACTACATTTTTTCATCATTGATTTTTTATGAATAGATATAAATGAGCATCACTTCCCTCACTCGCCACTGCGGCTAACGTTAACGTCGCATGATCTTAACACCGGTTTTGTATGCCAATAATAAAGGTATGCACGTCTGTTGATATAATTTATTATAACTGCTTTTTTTTAACAATAATTACGCGTCAACCCGAGGAATGTGAATTTATCATTTTTTGTTCTCAAATGACAATAAATTACTTTGCTTCGACCCACGGTGGCTTATAATACATGTCACTTGTATTGTTTCGCGTTTAACTACTACTTAGCTTCTATAGTTAAAAGTCTAAACTATACTGAACAAACCAGTTTTACGAACAACACCTTTTGAGATTTTCAATTTTTAATTTCTATAGTATGAATTGTAAAAAAGTAATTTATATTTATTTGAATTGATCGGCCGTTACACCTACTACTACTACTATCTGCTATACACATGAACTATGTTCTTTTGATATAAACTGTCAGTCTTACTATTGATATTTCTAAACTCAGTCTTAACCAATTCTTTTGCAAGGTAATTCGAATTGGGGTAAATTCCCACCTCTTTTCCATCTAAATGCCAACTATTAATTTAAGAACTCGCTTTAAATCATCATCTTATCCTCTTGTCGAAAGATAGCAGTACCATACTCAATACTTTGACAACCACTCCCAATGAACAGCCAATGTATATACAATATATTATATTAATTAATATATAATATTTTATAATTGTGATAATACAGTTACACGACTATAGTGTGAGTACTTATATAACATACAATTAAACACAGTACGACATTTCATAATCGAATGTATTTCCGTTCAAAGTAAAAATCAATTTTTTATACGGCTTAAACTCATACCTGCATGGCCACATGTGCGTAAAAATTGAAAGTAGTGTCTTAATATTATACAAGGAAGGATAACAGTGAAATGTTATATTAATATGTGCACACATTGAAAAATCAAATGTATTTTTTATTTTGTATTAATTGTTCATTAAAAAATGTATTTATTTTTGTTTTGCGAATATAATTTTAAAATTATTTTTCTCATACAGTACTGGTCGTACATAATTCAGTAAAATAACTTATTTTATTATAATTAATAAATTATATTGCATAAATATAGGTATAGAACTATTTTTTTACATATATACATATAAAAAAACATTTAAAATATTTATATGATACAGACATACATCAGTTATGATATTTAATAGAAAAAAAATGAGGCCTTTTAAAAATATTTAACTGAACTTTCAATTTATACTTGGTACAATGTGCATCATTCTAATGAAAATTCAATGAAACAT